ATACAATTTGCACTGCCAGTATTCCATTAAATGTGGGAATACTTCAAGGATGAGCAATAACACCAAGGACATCCAGAGGATGCCAAATCTCAGGCAACAAACTGCCTGTAATCTAACCTCACGCTCTGTGCCAACTTCAGTAAGCGAATTACAGGAGCAGGTGAACCAAGATTCTAGTAACTCCAGTTGTAAACAGAGAATTACTGCCATGGTTACAAGGAAGAAAAATGTGTATTTTTAGGCAGTTACAAAAAAATTATATTTGCTTTCACCTAATAAAAGGGAAAGTTATTTTAATGATAATCCATTACAAGATATCATGAACAGCAAATATGTATATTTTTTTTTATGGATTTTTTTGAAATGTTTAAGAAATATGTTCTCAGGCTATCTAATGAGAGTACAGATCAAACTTGGCAGGATTACACACACAAGAAAAAAAAAGGGGGCAAAAGCTACATATTAAAACAATCACATTTTTACAGCCAACGCTCTAGCTTTTCCAGCAGGGAAAAAAAAAAAGACAAAAGAATTTATTGGCAGAAGTCAGTAGGGGATAAGCAGAACAGTCATGTGAAAAATACAGTAGTTCAAACCTATTTGGAGGTTTTAATTAAAATTAAGCAGGAAATTCTCAAGAACTGGCAATAGAAATTATTAGACAATAGAAATTAATCCAATCGATTGTGTGGGAAAACGGGGTTTTTGTTGAACCTGTAAAATCCTGTTCTTGGGGTACATCACAGGACACAGGTAGCTAAATTATTTAACCACTGGGTTATGCAGCTATGTTTAGGTGGTTGGACACGGGCAAATCAATAAAAGCTGCAGTATAGCACCGCATAACCCTTTCCACTCCCAGCCTGCCTCCTTGATGGTCGATGTAAGCTAAGACCAGACCCTGCAACTAAGTACATTGTTGGAGACAATTGAATTTCCCTGAACTCCAGGAACTTTATCGGGAGTAGAGATTCCCCTGATGACAAGGACATCACCCTAGCCTGAACGGGCTGGCATCTGTTGTGAACACCTTCCAAAACTTTGAAAGTAAGGATTTCCCTGATTTGCTGGACTGGATATCCACCATGCCATGGCAAACATGGTAATTCTGGGCAATCAGAGGGAGAACTGCTTCCTGAGAAGGTGGTTATGGGGACCCCAAGGGAGTGAAGCCTAGCCAAGATGGGGGCCTGCATTTTGGTGAATACCTGTAGTGCTACAGATAGACCAAAGGGAAGGACCACAAACTGGAAATGCTGGGTTTCCACAGCAATAGGGAGGTTGGGACTGTAGGCAGACAAATTGGGGATGTGTAGATAGGTTGAAAAAAAGACACAAGTCCATCACATTTAACCTATAGAGAAAAAAAGAAAAGAAAAACGTCCATAAAACAGAGCCCTATATCCAAAGTTACCCAAGGCTGATCCAGAGGAAGGCCAAAAAAAAACCCTATTCAATTTGCTCCAGCCGGGGAAACAACGTCCTTCCTGATCCCATATGCCAATACTCCCTGAATCAACAATCTATGGTGCTTTCTTCTTATTAGAATGTTAATATCTAGTTATATTATGTGCATTAAGGCATGCATTCAGATTTTTTTTTTTAAACAATTAACTGAGCTAACTAGAAGTAGTTCCCGAGGAATCCTATTCCATATTTTCACAGCTCTCACTATGAAGAAGCCTTTCTGTATGCAAAGCTAAGAATAATACCAGGTAGGACTTCTGGCATTGGTGAACACTTTTTTTATGGTGAACACTTTATCCTCTTTCAAAGCCTTCCGTTGTTCTTCCCCTATTCCATTATAGCCTGACAACCGTATTACTTATCTGCCCCATTATATTCTAACTCGCACTCCCCCCTCAATCCTAGTTTAAATAAGACTCCAACCTTCTCTTAAACCTCTCCCCTAGTACAGCATACCCCTTTCCATTTAGTTGAAAACCCTCTTTAGTATACAGTTTGCACCTCAATGAAAAGCCAGCCCAGGGCTCTAGAAACCAATATCCTCCCCTCTTACACCAAATCTTTAGTCATGCATTTAAACTATTTTCTGTCTTTTCTATGTTAAGCTTGACACAGGCAAGATTCCAGAGAATATTACCTTGGAGGTCCTTCCCTTCAATTTGCATGCTATTTCTTGAAATTGATCCTTAAGGATCATCTATCTGCATCTTCCCTTCCAGAAATGTGCCCACCAGGTCCACCACCTGTTGAACCCTGGCACCAGGGAGGCAGTTAATCATGCAGTTGATGGTATTCGGATGACAAAATATTATATGGTTCTCAAGATTATAGAATCCTCTATCACCATCAGCTGTCTAGGCCTTCCTGCATCACCATCATCACCTGTACTAGATGGGTTGCTCTCCCGACTGTCAGGGGTAGCAGTGACATCTAGTGCTGCCAACTCTGAGTTTGCCATCCTCCCCCAACTTCGGCTGCTCAAACACAGCACTGGCCTTCCATTTCTGTAAATCTCTGCCACTCCCTTCAGCTACAGTAGCCCAGCTTCCTACCTGATTATGCATACTTAGCTGTCCACCCTCAAAATCAATTCCATTTACAGCTTGCTCAGTGAGCAGAAGACTCCTCCTAAGGTTGTCAAGTCTCCTTACTGTTGCAATCTGCATTTTCAGATCTCAAATGTGAGCAACCTGCTCACCTAAGTCATAGTGGTATTCACCCTGCAACTGTGGCTCCGATTGTGTGTACATGTGGCTGAGTGTGCACTGAACAAACCCTTTGAATATATTGGCACACATTAGGCCAGTTACAATATTTATATTACTTAAAAAAGTTTAGGATGTTACTTCCAGGTTAAATTCCTATTGTTTAAACTTCAATATGGGGTTGTCCGTTCATTGTGAATAAGGCAGTGTGGTGGCAGGGCCATGCGTGGCTTCCAACGGCACTGGGTCACTAGTGATTATTAATGACACTACAGAATACAGAAGCAGTCGGATGAATTCAGAAGTTTATAGGGATATATAGTCTGCTCAGATTCAGCCAAATTCAGCGAAGTTGATTGGACGGCGTTTCACTTTACAGATGGACAATGACCCAAAACTTACTGCAAAATCAGCCCAGAAGTTTATTAAGGCAAACAAGAGAAATATTCTGCAATGGCCGAGTCAATTACCCGATCAAACATGCATTTCAAACATGCATGAAGACAAAATTTAAGTCAGAAAGACCCACGAACAAACAACAACTGAAGACAGCTGCACTAAAGGCCTGACAAAGCATCACAAAGGAGGAAACCCAGCGTTTGGTGATTTCCATGCATTCCAGACTTCAAGTAGTCATTGCCTGCACAGGATTCTCAACAAAGTATTAAAAATAAACATTTTATTTATGATTGTCAAATTACATTTGAGCCCCTAAAATAAGGGGTCTGTATATGAAACCGGTTGCAATTCCTAAACGTTTCATATGATATTTTTGTGCTGACACTGTCCTTCCTTCTGTAGGGTGGCTACTTTTGGTCCCTGGGTGTGTTGTAAAGTAGAGACTGTTCCAAGCTCACTCCTGTGATGGACTACAATCTTAAGTTTAGTTCACTAATTTGCATTGAGATTGTAGTCCATCACGGGAGTGAGCTTGGAGTGGTGGCAACTTTACGCACACAGGGATCATGGGGAACAAATGTAGCCACCCTCCAGAAGGAACGACAGTGTCAGCACCAATTCAGAGATGATTTGAGGATCTACAGTCGAGTGATACACAAATAAGATACATTTTTGTTTAGTTAAAGGAGAACTATGGGGTTCTATCTTTTCTTGATTAATGCATTCCTTAGGCTAAATAGGTAAATTATGTAATTTACTCTAATTAGCCAAAATGCACAGTAAGACTGTAAACCCTTATTTAAGGTGGTGGGCGGGGCTAATATATGGACTTGCCCATTTGTAGTAAATGCTGAAGAGAGAGAGAGGGCTCCTTCCCCTCTCTCATCAGCGATCCCCATTGAATTGAGGATGTCAGCGTCACACAGGGCAGGGAGAGAGAGAGAGGGGAAGGAGCCTTCTCTCTCTCTTCATCATTTACCACATATGGGCAAGTCCATATATGATGAAAGATGTCACTGGGGATCCCTGCTGATCGGTTGCTTGCCAGTCTGCAGGGATACCCAGTGACATCATTCACCATATATGGACTTGCCCATTTCTGGTAAATGATGGAGAGAGGGATGGCTCTTTATCCTCTCTCTCTCCCCCTGTGTTATGCTGACATCCTAATTACTGGGGATCGCTGATGAGAGAGGGGAAAGAGCACTGAATGTGTAGGGAGGCTGAGTCCGTCTCTTGCTGCGGCCTTCTCACTTCAGACTCCGCCTCCCGCTCACAAATGCCAGCGTGCACGAGCTGACAAAACACAGCTGTGCACGATGAGAGGAAGCGCGGCCACAGCAATGAGATCATTTGAAAAAAAAGCCGTGGGCGGGCTGGATCAAATGCCCCCTAAGAGGAAAGGAGCTTGGAGCAGGGTTGAAGGCGGCCATTTACTACAGGTTTTGAGGGTTTTATCTGTGATGTGCTGCGACTTTAGAAAAAAGGAACGATGCTACTACAATCAAGGTAAGGGGTATTTTTATTTGCCCTTAAGTCATAGTTCTCCTTTAAGGTTGTTAAAAGTATTCTTAAGATTTAAAGCCTGAGTTTAGTGTCACTTTAAGATTCTTTGGGTGGTGGTTTAATTTCAGTACAATACAGTAGATATCATAGGCAATAGAAGAGGTATTTAGTCTTTTTCAGGGAGTTTATTGTGCATATCTATTTTAGCAACAGACTGCTTTAGCAACAGGATTAGTATGACAGTTAGAAAAAAATTATAATTTCCAGACGCAGGGGTCAGAATAGCTCTCAGTCACTATTCAAGTGTTGACTTGTTATGCCCCTTAAACAACGCTGGAGTTTCAAAGTTCTATTTATACATTATTTTATTTATATCACACTTTTATATATGATTATATGATGTATTAAAAATATTTAGCCTACCTTTAAAGTTCGAGTTGGGGCCCAGCCCGTTCCATCTATGGAGTGCTCTCTCAGCAAACTGCATTAAAGAAAAACATGTGATATTCAATATTTTTAGATCTAAAGCCTGTGATATGGTTAAAATGCCGCAGTGCTCCTCCCATATCACCCTGTCACACATCTAGTTTGGTTTTCATCCAAACTAGGTGTGTGCGTATAACATACACATAATGAAAAAGCAAAACGGACTAAGTCAGCTGGGCACACCACGCGTCAAAAACGGCGTGGAGGAAAGTCAAAACCCCCCCCCCCCCCTTCGCAAGGATCCACTTCTGCCCACTGAACACCCACCTGTCACCCCGACCAGACCTCACGACATCACGACATCACCAGGAGATCATCACCTGTGTGCCCATCCATCTCATCACACGTCAGTGCCCATTTTTCATTCCCACCCACTTTTATCTCGATTCACTGTTATTCCTTGGTCAGTCCCCCTCCACAAAGTCTTTGCCAGTTTGTTGCACTCTTTCCCTTCCTTTCTTTCTATTCAGTATCACACAGTTAGACAACCCGGTCTAATAATACAAGGAGCCGCACAACGGCCACGAAACACCACACCTCCCCCTAGGAGAGCGCTAACCAATCAGTCTTCATTTTCCAACTCCGGTCCCAGGGCCATTTATCCACTATGGAATAGGTCCTTCCATGTTTTTCCAAGGTGGCCAGGTGATGTTTCTGCCTTGGAGGGGGTGTTTTGTTGTGCCCAGCCCCCATTAGTTACTGCTTTGGGACATCTCCACTATGTCCTTCATAATAAAAAGGATTTTTGTACTTGCCTTAAAATTTGTTTCTCTGCGTTCATTGAAGGACACAGTACCCACCCCTCTGGTTGGTTTGTTGTGTCCAGTGGTTGTTTTATGTACTGCCTTGTACTGCTTTGCGATTGAGCTGCCTCTGTTAGGAGGTTTGGCTACCATCAGGGGCCGCCTCTAGGCTGAGCTTTTGTGCCTAGTCTCCTACTCCTAAAAGTGGCACTATAACCTAATTGATCAAGATCTGAAGATCTGCACTGTGTCCTTCAATGAATGCAGAGAAAATTATTTTACAGTGAGTGCAAAAATCCTATTTTTCTGAAACTTAAGAAAGCAAAGAGCACAACATAAAAAAATTAAGGAATATTGCAATAGTAGACATAGTATTGGATCTATGAGCATACAGCTCAACACCTAACAGAAGTAATAAACCCAAAAGCTAACCCACCCACCAATGTTTTCAAAAGTTAACCTCCGCACTTAAAACGCTGAACTGTTCATTTTGGTCTAGGAGCACGGATAAAGAAAACATACTTCCCTGACCCTTGATCCCGCCTGGCTGCCAGACTGGTCCCCGCAGCCTCCTCTCCCTTGAGCTCCGGCGTTCGCTCACCTCTCCATCCTGTCACGGCTCTCTGCCGTGACAGTGGAGGGGCTGGATTCCCTCCTCCCCGCTCCGATCCGCCAGCGCTGACTGGCGGAACGGACGGGGGAGGGGGTGGGTACAGCTGGCTCTGCCTCTAGATAGGCAGAGCCAGCTGTCAGTCACGCAGCTGGGTGGATCCCGGCACAATTGCCGGGATCCGCTTCAGCGCCTCAGTATACCGCGAGCTACAGCTCCTCCCGTTACCCTGAGAACTATGGAGAAATTGTTACAGACTGTTATGTGTGGAGTGCAATGTTCACTGTATCTGCCTCTACAACATACTCCCCAGACACCCTTCAAGCTTTATTTGGTGGGCTTGTTTCTGAGGGAGAGTGAGACTTCAACAACAAGCCCTAAAGTCACATGACCTTACTGAACTGTACCTCACACTACACAGATACAGTGAGGGGACTTGAAACTGCCACTGTCACTCTCATGAGGGAAGGGTGGCATTAAAACAGACTTCCCTCCTTTTCCCTCTCAAGGCTGTGACACACTGCAGGCGAAGCGAAGCAAAGGGAAAAAACCCCCCAACCTTCCACTTCGCACACCACCACAGCTTGGCAACACTGTAGTTTGTCCGGCACAGCGGAGCTCGGGATCGCCAGCGGCAACGGAGGGGGGGCCCCTCACAAACGCACGCATATTACAAGTGATCGGGCGTCTCTACAGACGTCTGAACGCTTGTATGTAAACAGCCATCGCTGGCTGTTTACATTGAAAGCCAATTTCCAGTTCGTGAGCACGGCCTAGCGGCGGCCACGAGCGGGGTGGGTTAGGACATTTAAAAACGCCCCCACCCGCATTACGTCTGCTGCCCGGCCGTTTAATTACAACAGACTGACAGCAGGTGGTTAATTATTTAATTCATAAATATTGTTTGTTGATTATGAAATATAGTTCTTTTTTTTTTACCACTCAAACTTCTCCTCAGGACTGGAAACAGAGAAGAACTGAGTGACAGAGGAGGAGGTTCCTGTATCTTTGCTCAGTGCTTCTCGAGAAAAAGGCCTTTAGCACCAGGTCTGACAGGGTGCTAAATCAAGGGTACTTTGCACAATACTTATCTCCTAATAAAGCTGTTCTCTATTTTTCTCCCTTTATTAAACAGGTACATTCCCATTACTTTCTATGTACTTATCACCAGGATGAGAAGAGGTGAGATATTTATGTTCCTACCTGACTTATCTCGGGTTATTAAACAGCATTTTCTATACTTTTCACTTTGCTAAGGTGAGAAAAGCCTTCTCACTGCTTATCTCACTCTTTCACAGTTTATTAAACGTACACCTTAACCCCATAGTTCTCCTTTAACCCTTCTCAAATAAGAGAAGATTGTTAGAATGTACATATACTCTGTTCTGTGTATTTAACTGTCTAGAGGATCTCATTACCCAAATCCAGATGACAAGGACAACACTGCCTACCATTTGAATCTATCCAGACCTGACAAAAGTATACCATTTCTGGCTTTCATACAATAACTGAACTGATCGTGGGCTTTTTATACTGTAATAACAGTGGTATTTATAGTTTTGGCAAACTAGTACAAAAAAAAAAAAGTACATCACTTACTGCAAATATGTCCATAAAAGCAATTTGATTTGTACAGATTTTAGGAAGTGGCTTTCCTAATTACTTCAATTTGACAAAGAAAAGGGCATTTTAAGCAATTGATAGGTTACAACCTTGTTTTCCTCAGTTGTGTTTCAGAATCAACTTCTGAATCAGCAAAAAAACCTCCCAAAAACTGAAAAGCACAAACATTTCAAAGGTGCAAGGGCAGCATTTTTTATTTTAAAAAAAGGAACAAATCATAAAAAAGGCAACTTCTCACCTTAAACAGATTTCACCTGTCTCTGTGATGTTCGGATGCCAGATCCTTGTTAAACACTTCGCTTTAGGAGGCTGCACACAAAGCAGAAATGAATTCATGTCACAATGGGATGAATGAAGTGAGACAAACATTTCAACAGATACCAGGAGGTTCTCAGCATGCAGCAAAAGCTACATTTCACTTGTATGGCAATTAATTTGCTGGAGAATATTGTTTTGGATATATTTCACAGGCTTGCTCCTGACAGCTTTTTGGTTAGCAATCTGCACTGGACAATTTCTGGCAAGTGCTGAGAAATTACATAGTCACAGGTGAGTAGAGGTGTGTGAAATTCCAATTTCCTGCCAATAAAGCTTTAACAGTCCCTCTGTGATTTCACACAAGATTTCAATTTATGAAAGTTATGATATAAACCGATGTAACTGCCATGTGACATTGTCTCAGCAGACCTATACATGTACAGAAATGGTTATATAGAGACTTGCATTCCAGTATTTAGGATAGTATCAGCCCTTCTCAAGCATCCAACTAGTCAAACCATTTCTCATTAAATAACATTTGGAACATTCTAATGGTTATCAAATATTTAAAGTGGAAAATTTTTTTCTTTGGAAAAGTTTGGAAGGGTTAGGACCTCAGGTCAGATTTTCACTGTTACCCGTGTGTTATGGTTGTTGAGAAATGCTTAGCTGCTGTGTGGACAATGGGACAGGAAATCCCACCAATTTCACTCGTCTCTGTGATATTTAAATGCAAGCTTTGGCAGCCATAAAAACATCTGCCATTGGTTCTAACCCTTCTTAACTTTATCCACAACTATAAAAGTGAAGTTCAACCAGCATATAAAAAGTTTTAAAAACACTCATCTATATGTAAAAGTTTCAGCATAATATTTGAGTAAGTATAATGGGCAAGATAAAGTCCCACCACCGACTCGCTGTTTCAGTCAACCAACAGAGGGGAAGAAACCCTCAGTCAGCTTTACACAAATAGCCACACGTTTAGGTCAATGTCTCCTTGACTAGTGGAGAGAATAACTGCTTTCTCTTGAAAACCTTAAAAACTCCAAATGTTAGTAGCAATCAGAACTCCAAACAGCCAAGTTCCTGGGAAGAACTATTAGTAGAGCATTAGTGCCTTGGAAAACTGTAAATTCCTTTAAGTAGAAGCTACACAGTTTTGTTAAAACCCACTGCTTGTACCCCAGTGAACTTGTACATTACAGCATGAAGCCTCCAGCTGTATGCAACGTTTTGGTGGTGTTTTTCTGAATGGAAATTAATATAGACTGGAAAACATAAAATGTAAAATGTACCCATTTTGTGAAAGGGTAAGGCAAAATGGTACATGGCTGGTATTTATTAACATGTCCTCTTTAGAAATTTGTTTTTAAAGGATTCCTGTAGCTTCCTGACAGCCTGTTCTTAATTTAGCTTTTGCTCACCCTTCCTTGTAGAAAGCTTCTATTTAAAAAATGCTCTTAGGCTGTGGATGGTTCCCCAGCTGATCAGAATGGAGGGTGCCCATGTGAAAGGGGCCTTAGAATCTTCATGGTGCAAGGTTTAATTGAAGTGTATGCCAGGGCAAAAAAACAAGCAAACATATGCAGTGCATGTATGTGAAAGTTCTCATTCATCCAGGTCATGGTATATTTGTAAAAAATAAGTCAAGGCAACTGGACTAGCTGGTATTTTTCTTGAAGACGTTTCACATTTCTGGATGACTATTGAAACGTCTTCAAGTCCAGTTGCCTTGACTTATTTTTTACAGATATATGCAGTACATGCACATTTCCCCACATGGAGGTACAGGAAAAACAAATACCTGTTGATCTACCATAAAAGCACTTAGCAGCCCAATTTTCTTTTGCTAAACTTCAAAGACCCACCCCTTCTTCCATCTCCCCAACACAGGCACTAATCGCTCTGAAGTCCCAAGATAAGAACTAGGTGTGCTACTTACACTCTTTGAGATATCAAAGGAAGTGCGTACAAGAAACAGGGCGGCTCTCAATTTTAGACATCAAACAGCTATGTTTTTGTACTTTTAATCAGATATTACAAAATGCTTACGACTGTGTATTTTACAGGCCAAAAGGGTGCAAATGAGACATGTCCACTGTTAGGGTTTCCATACAATTTAAGATAATGCTAAACATGGCACCCTCCTCTCCTGTTCGCGTGGACCTTGATGGAACGTCACCTGTATCCATAGAGCATTGGTTAGGCCATGAAAACCTGTAGTTTCCAGATATGTGGTACTAAAGCTGTACTATGTGTAGACTTAGGACCAGATTTTGGTAGTATAATATATGGCTCAATTTCCTAGGATGACCACCTCAGTTCAAAAGTATGTTGATCTCATGCTGATGACTAATGCAGTCATGAAGTGAAGCGAACAGTCCAATCATAGGGACTGTAGCAAGGGATAACATAATTATACTTCCACTTTATAAATCACTGGATTGGCCTCATCTAAAGTATGCGGTACAGTTCTGGTAACTGACCCTCAGGAAAGATGTCCTCGCGCTTGAGAGAGTCCAGAGAAGGGCTACAATGTAAATTAAAGGGATAGAAGGCCTGATATTTGAAGACCGCCTCCAGAAATTAATTGTATTTACCTTAGAAAAGAGGCGCTTATAAGGGGACCTTATTGTAGTCTTCAAAATCATCAATGGGGACCACAATATTCGGAACAAGTTGTTTACACCGAGAACTATATTGAGGACAAGAGGACACAACAAGAGATTAGAAGAGAGGGGGTTCAATCTTAGACTGTGCAAGGGTTTTTTTTTTTCTTCTGTGCGGCTAGTAAAAATATGGAACTCCCTTCCACAGTCAGTGGTATTCGCTAAAAGTGTTGGTAAATTCAAGAAACTTTTAGACGAGTTTCTTCTTTAACTACATATACAGGGATATGGGAGATGTTAAATCCATATATTTACAAACACACATACACATAGGTTAAACTATATGGACCCTCGTCTTTATTCAACCTCACCTACTATGTTACTATGTTAATGAAAGCCCAGCTTTGGACAGATAGGGTTTCTATTCTATTTTTTCAGCACATCATGCTTTAGAATCTGCAGGCCTATTGGCAAACTGGCTTCCTCAAGACTTACAAGATCATTTATGGATCAAAGACAATATGCAATACACAGACCAGCACCAGGAAGAGGCAGTATGTAAAAGCATCAAAATGGACTGATAGTCCTTGATTGAATAGCTGCTGTGGATGTAACAGATGGATAGATCGAGGAGACACTCAGGAGATTCGGTTCTCCTCACAGAGTCCCACTGCTAATCCTTAGAGCGCTTTCGGAGACATCCAATTCCTCCAAATGTTTTTGCGATTTCGCAGGCGTGCAATTTTAAGGTTTGACATGTTTGGTGTCTTTTTACCTGATGTGACCCAATCTTTTGTATTTTCCCAAAAAATTGGAGTAATAACAAATGTTTCATTACATGACAATAGTGTAATGGTCAGACATAAGAACCCCCCTTTTCCTTAAAAACCCGTTAAGCATTCCAAGATGGACCCAGATGTGAGATTAAATATTTTGCAGGTAAACAGTAGAACAAACCTATCTGCATATAACATTATTATGCTACCCCCAAGAAACAGGAATTTTGTACTCACTAGAAAACCTTTTTTTACTGGCCCTCAAAGAGTTTCTTAGATAAGAGTTACTTATTACATCCAGTCTTCCTCTGACTTACCCCACATAATTATGTGGAAATCAAATGGGGGAGTGGTATTCTATGATTAGACCATCAACTTATGTTCAGTGGGCCTATGGGTTATATAGTGTTGAGGTCAATGAAGGCCATTGATGATAGTGTTAGCTTTACCATAAGGCTGGGTTCACACCGAGGCGGCACAATTTTTGTGCGTTTGTACGCGCCTTAACAGCATGCGGTTATTTGCGTGTTTTAGCGCACTGTGCACATTTGTATGCGTGTTTTAACTGGCAGCTCATAAACCATTGTGGGAAATGGAAGAACGTGCACAAAAATGCTCATGAAAATGTGCAACATGCTTCTATTCCGCATTTCAAATTAAGTCTATGGGGCAAAACTTTAACTGCCCAAAGAAGCTCCTATACCTTCTTGGGCGTTTTTCTGCTCAGGTGTGAACCAGGGCCATTGAAAATCATGGGATTTCTTGTGTTGGGCAGTTAAAAGCGCTTTTCGAACTGCTCAAAAACTCCTAGGTGTGAACCAGGTCGAAGCTGTCAGCAACCTGGCTTGTGAGGTAATTCAAGAGAATTCACCATTACGAATCAGTTGCTCATAACCAGATCACTACAAACTCTGACCTCAGACTGTACTTGCATACCATGAGAATACAAATTGGTTCAAACAGAAGATATTGTTTAGTAGTTGGATTGCTTTCTAAACGCTATTTTATGTCTAATAATATGTCTTTCCCCAAACAAAATATAATGGCAAATTAATCTGTACTTAAAGAAACACATATGCTGCTATTACTTACCTACTGAAACTTCTAGAAGCTAAGCTGGAAAACAAGAAGTCACAAATCTGAAACAAATATGCAGTGAAGTGGAGTTAAATCATGACACCCGATCTATACTTGTTCCAGGTCAGTGACTCAGAATACTGAAGCCGATGGACTGGCATGACAGCCATGCAACTATTATATTAGAATATTTCTCATAAAACAGATTTCTTGCAACATTAGGTATTAATTTCCCATTTTGGTATTCAGGGTGAGCACACAGTTTTGATGGTGCAGTTATACAAGACCTGAATGAGGCTAAAAAGGAAATTGAATTGAGCACTGAAACAGCTTAAGTAAAGTGAGATACTACTGCATTTGATCTGCATGCTCTACTGATGTACAGTGAACAATAGCTGCCACCAACGATAAACAGTAGACATGCAGAGAAAAGCACTTGTAATTGCAGAATGAACAGCTGCCTTCCAGCTGTCCCAAGGCAGCTCATCCCAGTATCCTTCAAATGACAGCAAAAGGTTGTAACCCCAAAGGAATCCTGTTTCAAAGAATGTCATTAATTTCATTAAAAAGTGTTTGGTTAAAGTCGATG